AGGCGGGAAGCCTCGGCCGCGATGCGCTCGAAGATGTCGTTGACGAAAGAGTTCATGATACTCATGGCCTTGGAAGAGATGCCGGTGTCGGGGTGGACCTGCTTCAGCACCTTGTAGACGTAGATGGAGTAGCTCTCCTTGCGGGTCTTCCTGCGCTTCTTGTCCCCCTTCTTCTGCGTCTTGGTGATGGCCTTCTTCGACCCCTTCTTGGGCACGGGCGCTGATTTCGCGGGCTCAGGCATCTTCACTCTTCCTCTTACGCCGAGAAGCAGTAAACTGACGAACTTCGTTATTCCGCTCCCTTTTATAAGCAGCCGTATGCTGATGAGGCGCTCCAATCGTCAAGCTGCTGTTGGTTCTTATAATTTGGGCGGGAAAGTTGGAACGTCAATCAGAAAGCGTTCGTTCGCTATTGGATAAAGGAAAAATGGCTTGGTTTGGTTCGAACGCGCGCCGGTGTTGTTTTCTGATTGGTTCAGTGAGGCTTCTCTCTCATTGGTCTATTTTGAAGCCGAATTGCTATGAACGTGAAGGGAATTGTTGTGGCTTTAAAAGCAAATAAAATCAATAAATTGGATTAGTAATCTAACTGATATAAGGAAAATTGGGTACCATATTAATAGTTTCAGAGAAATTTTGAACCGGTTTCTAACCGGCTGCCTTGCCTCAGCAGCGTCTACGGAGTCCGATGGGTTGGGTGTAGCCCTCCGAGGAAGCTTCAATGCAAAACTAGATGAAGGAGAAACCAGAAGAAGCTTCATGCAGTGGCAAGATCATTAGTAAATAATTATTTAATCGAATTGTCCTTAAAACGGATGACCAATTCTCTTCCAGGTTGCACCTACTGGCAAAGCACTGTAGAAAACAAACTCTGTCAAAACTTATAAAGGAGCAGAAAGAGGTTTCAATGTCCAATTCAGTTAAACTCCAAAATTTGTGTCAGAATTTCATGGTCTGGGTCCATTATTTGTCACAAGGAGAAACCACATACTGTACTTTATATAATTGTAAGATAAGAAAGCAATTCAACCCACGTTTTAGAGTTCATTTGGCATATTAGTAGCATTTTGAAGAGGAAAATACTTGAACTACACTTCTCTTACACATCCACATTTTAAATGGCATTGGCTTTCATTTTCAGGAACATCGATGATGCTTTAATCCCACTGAAATCAGTTACACATTTTAGGGATTTCTTTCTGTTGATTTAGTTGAGACTACTGTGAGTCTTTTTGGATCTAGCTCCATTCAGATAGGTTTTAATTAAATTATGTTTTAATCGCTCAACAACCAACTAATATTCTTGAATCAAGACGACTCAGTTGAAGTGCCTCCATAGGTTCGAGCCACAGAGTGTCTGGTTTTGGAGGCTGAAATGGTTCTGCTGGCCCACACTTCCACCTCAGAAGTTTCTTCATTTGGCTTTTCCATTCACGATATGAAAATAAAAATTGTCCTAGGGTCCATCTTCTACCAATGTGGTCCCCGGAATTGCTTACAAGGCATTTCAGAAGAAGATGGACACCAGATCTCTGGAGATCTCTGAGGTGAAAATCAACAACAGTGCATGTAAATGTTGTGGGCACTCGGTCAATGGATATTGAGGAACCTGGTAAAATATTTTGTTTTCTTCTTGGAATTGTAAACTTTTACTGGTGAGGAAGAACCCTTAAATGATATTTATAGGAGAGAAAGCAAGAAGCTTGAGCTCTTCCCCAGAACAAAGTTGTTCAGCAGGTAAAATATATATTTCTTTTTCTTTTGATGAAACTGGTTCACTTTCCCCTTTACTAACAAGAGTAATTAAGAGGACACCTAATATCTGTAGCACAGTGTTTCTCAATCTGGTCACTTTAAGCTTTATGGATTTCAAATCCCAAAATTCCCCAGCCAGCTTAGCTGACATCTAGGAAGGAAGGAAGGAAGGAAGGAAGGAAGGAAGGAAGGAAATGACTTTGGATTAGCAATTTCATAAAGACAGGGAGGATAGAGTATAAACCCTTGAACCAGTGTTCTTCAATCTCAGCACCTTAAAGATGTGTGGTCTTTCCACTCCTAGAATTCATAAGTCCTCACACCTTAAAGGTGCTGAGGTTGAAAAATACTGCCTTAAGCCTCAATGTACACCCATCGCTGCTCGGTCAATAGTCCATAAAACCCTAAAAAAATCAGCATCATTGGATTGAGATTTACAAGGCTTTCACCAGTGCTGAGTCTGACATGATCCTGATGTCTTCCATAAATGTTCTTTGTCCAAAGAGAGAAAATTAGCCTTGCCCTGTTCTGTCTCAAAGCTTATGGGGCAGATAGGTTCTCTTTGAGGTTCTGCAAAAAGAAGGCCAGATGTAAACTACAAGAAATCAAACAAAAGTTTGAAGTCTCTATGCGGTCTCTGAAGTCAAAGGAAACATTTCTTATTCTTGTGGAGGGAAATAACCAGTCATTTGGTTCTGTTCTTCAGGGGGTAAACAAGTTGTGGTCAAACGTTCTTTGTTTCTATAAATAGCTGCACACATAAAGGAAGACCACATCTAAAACTTTGTTGTGTGAAAACTGGAACCTGGCTGTTTTCTAGAACCCTGAAGAGCGTGACAGAACAGGGGAAGTGGAAAGTTGGCATAATATCAGCCTTTAAAGCTCATTTCTTTGGCTTTTCAGAAGGAAACCTGAGCTAATCGTACTTTCTTTTTTACTAGCTTTGCTTCATAATAATGAAGCTGTCCGTGAAAATTTGTTTTTTTTTTTGAGGGGAGGGAGTTTAGTTAGATTTTTACCTCAGGCCCTTCCAGACATTCAAATTATGAATCGTGAAAGTGTTTCCCAAAGTAAGAGAAGATCTGGTGGTTTCTTGGTAGGTTTCACTTGATTGATTTTAAGTACCTTCAAACTGAATCAGAGTTTGGCAAAAATAGCCCTATGGTTCAACCGCAGAAAAGCAAAAGGGAGCTTTTTTTTAAAAAAAAAATTGTTGGTTGAAAGATATGGATGTGAACCCTAAGTTTATATTAATGAATCATAAGAATATCCTGGAGGTCTTGCTAGTTGAATGGCATTATTCAAGGCTTGAGGCTGTGCCAACCATAGTTATGAAATTCAGCCGTGTTTTTCAACCTTGGCTACTTTGAGCCATGTTGATTCTACTCCCAGAATTCCCCAGCCAGCTATGAATTCTGGGAGTCAAAGTCTACATGAAATGGCCAAGGTTGAGAAACACTAGTTTAAGAATTTACGCTCTCTTTTCCTGTGATCCAAGATCACTTCCTCCCTTCTTTCTTCCTAGACTTATCTTGAGGAAGACTCATCATCAACTGTACCCCAAAATTGTTTTTTCCTCCAAAAAAGAATAATTTAGTTTGAGTGTTTCTGTCAGGGTTCCAACCTATGCCCTAATTAAATCATGAGCTTCAGGCCAAGCTTCAAAAGAAAATCCAGTTATTTATTAGGAGCTTCATGTTGGCACGGACCAAGTGAAGCCAACTCTAACCTCACTTAATTCACGCTTTGGCTTTGACCCTGTTTTCCCCTCCCCAAGATGTGTCATCAGTCACATTCCCCAATGAAGCAATTTCGCGGGTTGTAGAAGTCACTCCCTCTGGCCACTGTGGGTCTCCGTAGAGATGACCTTGACGTTGCTGGCTGGAATGTGCTTTGTTTTGACTGAATAGCAAGTTGCTTGATGTAGCTGTGAAGCTCGATTCCCCATCCCCTTTGCCTATGGCAACTCGAGAGCAGGTCAGGGATGTTTTGCGAGTTGACAGTTTGTTTCACAGGGCATATATAGAATTTTGAGGACCCATAAAAGAGAATTGTGGCTCTTGTAGGGTATGTTACCTGAGAACAGGGGTGTCAAACTTGCCGCATCTCATTGCTGTCATGTGACATTTCATGACCTTTTCCCATTTGTGGAGCTGGGATAGGCATGGCCTGCATGCGATGCATCCAGTCCATGGGCCACCAGTTTGACATCCCTGCTTTAGCAAAGCTGAGAAGCAAAGCTGAAGGAACATCTCAACTTAGTCTGTTCTCACTGGAAGAGCCATCACATTTAGAAGCATCTGAAAGCCCAGCTGAGGGAAATAACTGTTCTTCGTTCCTGATTATCTTTCTGACCTACTTCCTTCTGGTTACTTTCTGTTCAGGGGATCAAAAAGTTAAGATGGTATCTACAAGCAATGTTTTTCGACCTTGGCAACTTGAAGTTGTGTGAACTTCAACTCCCAGAATCCCATAAAACAGCTGTTTCTTTGACCTGATAATAATCTTGCTGCAATTATCAAAAAAGAAGTCAATTCCATGACTTTTTTTTTTCTAGTTGCTAGAATTTCAACAGAAAAAAAAGAAGAAGAATGCAATAAAATAATCCAGAAGAGAGTGAAGAATTTAAAGGCTTCTTCATGGAGCTTCAACAAGATTTCTTCATGTTCCTGAGACACATAAAACATCTGGCACTTCTTGTGATGACAAGACAATAAAGCTAGAACATACTGTCAACCTGTCTCCTGGGACAATCTGCAAAAATTGTCCAAGGCCTGCAAATCACTAGATTGCACATAGCTGAGTATCTTGAATTGGGTTGATCATGCTGAGGGATCCCATATTATTTACAAAAATGGTTTGTCAAAGTTGCATTCAACCACAACTTGTTTACCCCACGGAGAATGGACCTATATGACTATTTTTTTCCCCTCACAAGTATGAGCAAATATTTCCTTTGTCTTCGGACACATCAGAAAAACTACGGAGTTTTGTTTTCCCTCTCAACTTATATTCAGACTACTGGCCAAACTTGTTGATCAACTTAACCATTGTACTTAAAAACCACAATCACATCCTGTTAGTAAAATTAACCCTGACCAAGAATTAGTGAGAACTTGTTGCTTCTTTTGGTTTTCAAGCCTGACTTTTAGTAGATGCAGTCCTCTAACTGGCTGGTTTTGTGTATCCCTATAATTACCTCCTGTAAATAAATCTCCTTTCTGTTATAATTCTAAAGCCCATAC